TACCACGAGAGATAGATCACAAATAGTCAATTAGGGAATAAACGGGTGAGGCAGTCAATCTATCAATCAATCAATCCTATGCGAGTAACTATCTTGCAGATCACCCTAAACCGAGGGGATACCGGTAACATTTCAAATGCTACTGATGTAATCCGATCTTATGTTACATACACATGAGTGAATAACTGAATGTTTTGATTAATTAATAAACTGTTCCATCGTACCTGGATCAGAACTGATCAAAAAGCTACCGTGTTTGTGGGCAGGCCTGAAAAACTGTCAGGGCTATACGAATCCTCAGAGATTGTCAGTCAAAGTGAGGATCAAACATTTTAGTGGAGACTAGTTCGATTGATTGATGGAAGATCTATCAAACAGGGATCTGTTCCAGAAATAAAAGAAAAATTTGATCAGACTTAGTATCACAGAGTTTGGACACATACTAACTTGAAATCAATACTGTGAAAACGCGAAAATTGAAACTCTAATCAGTTTCGCATTTACACTAAACCAAATATTGATCCCAATGACCAAATAAAATTTCACTCAATGGGGAAAAAATTCACTATTGAACCCGAAATTCACCGTAATCATTCATCGTAGTTGTACTCGGTTTTTGTCAAAAGCCTTGAAGGCAAATTACTCCAGTGTCTGAATAAAAGTATTTTCCAGAAATGTAGACTGTCCGAACAGCCAGCAGTTCAGAAATGGGGTACGCGTACTGCCCATTGGTCGAAATTTGGTGAAATTTGCAAAAGTTCACTGTGAAAGATCAGTTATGTGTGTAAACAGTGACAAGTGTACAACCAGCTTGATGGGAGGGGGCGGCTAGAAAGCGAAACACGGAAAGCTATTCATACAAACTATTTGTAGATGACCTAATCAAATGTGGAAAAGTCAATTAGCTTGGCAAAATAGAACAGTTTCTATGCTAGCTGACAATTGTCGAAATGATTGAATAAATTGTTTTAACAGAATAAATCTGTCGAAACTAAAGAGCTCACAACAGGCAACATTCGGAATGAAATCCATTTTATCCAATGGGTTAGAAGTTCCAAGGACTTTAAAGTACACAAAATCGGCTTCACAAATGTGAAATTGCTAGTGTGAATACCGGGGGAACATGCACTCCCCATATCTGACAGATCCCGCAGTGATTAATAACAATCCTTTATCTTGGGTGAACTCTGTCAAATATCTTGATGTAACCATAGATAGCAATCTTCATTGGTCAACCCACATCCACAACTGCATTAGTAAACTGCGGAGCCTATCTTTTCTAATTCGAAAGCTCAGGGAGTTTCGCGCATCCCAGTCAGTTATATCTATCTGCCTTTGGTTATCAGTGTGTTTTCTCCATCCTACTCTACTGTTCCCCGTTTATTTTTCCTGGTTTACTCAAACAGGATTTCAAAGTCTCGCTCCGTGGTCTAACCGTTATTAGTCGTGTCTCTTCTATTCCTGTGAGTGAATTAGCTTTAGGCCTTTCAGAGTATCAAGCAACCTCCTGTGTAAAATTTGCTGAGAGGATTCTTACAGATCCTGACCATCCATTGCACGCAGACCGGAAAATTTGTCATTCCCATCAGTCCACGCGCTCCCAATTCCGCCAAATTTCATCTCGAATTAATGCATGTAATAAAGCTTATTCCACGAGCGGCACACCTCAAAGTTAGCTTTGGGAGGTAATGTTTTGTGTTTCTTAGACCACAATGTTTAGTCCCGTCAGGATTGAAGATTTCATGTGATTGGTACATCACCAAATAATTTATCAATTTCTTTGACGTGTAAAATTTTCATCAATTGGCCTATGTACTTTGCATCGAATAAAAATAGATCAGACCCTCCTGAAACAACAATTGTCTATTAGAGAGAATGAACTATCATTTTGCTTTGTATAAAGTATTTTCCAATTCTGGATTGTAAATTTCGAACTACTAGAACTTATATCACGACAATCAAGATTAGACAAATTCAAACACTGATAGGCGAGAACTGAAAACATCGCAGTGATAGATGAAAGTCGGAATAAATACTCTTTACCCATGGCTATCGATACACATGTGAGAAACTGGAAAATAAATTGTATTTCCAAAATGAAACCCGTGTTGTACGGGTTTGAATAATATCTATATAAGTCAAGAAGTCAGTTTTACAAACAAGCTCGTTTTCAAATGCCTCAAACACAGCACTCTCGTATAGGTTAGCAAATCACACAATTCAGACAAACAGAAAAAGGGGAAAAAACGCGAATAATGTCCGTGTGTGTTTGTGCGGCGTTCCTCGATGTTTTACTCTTGCCGTACCAAATTCCGTCCCGCAACCAGTGGTCCAAAGAACCAGAGCTTCTCTGTCAAAAAACTAATGGCAGCCGACAGCGAAGAAGTCGGCCAAGACATCAATTCTAATCCAATCGGATTTCTACACCGAAAATATTTAAACTGTTACCATACCAATGCTCAAGGACTCTTCAGCAAATTTCCAGAGCTGAATTTTCGATTCATATCAGGTCAATGGGATATTATTGCTATTACAGAAACGTGGCTTACAGCTGATATTCCGGACTCCGAATTGTCCTTACCAGGAATGTCTCTGCTCCAATGCGATCGTCCTACCCGTGGCGGTGGTGTTCTACTCTATTATCGTAAAGACCTTGATTGCGAGCAAATCCATCCTCCAGTTTCGACT